CTCTCTCTCTCTCTCTCTCTCTGGGAGCGACGACGATACCTCCTTAAACGTTAAAGAGGGTGTCGATAGAAGATCCTCTAAAGAGGATCGTGATGTTAAGATTCAATAAGACATCTTGCTTTTCAATTCCAAGTGGTAAGCGTCACAAGTACGTTTTTGTTTTTTTCCCCTCTTTATTTTATTCTTTTTACGAGTGTTCTCTATTTTTTATGAGATGCACTTCAACATTCAAGGCGGTTGGATTTATATTTAAATGCTGACTTGAAGAATTATGTTCCTAGTTTCCAACTTTTGAATTAACGACATTTTTGGTACTTTCTCAATTTGTACTTTTTATTATAATCAAATTATTCTTATTATTATTAGTATCATTACTGTTATTATTAGAATTATTACTGTTATTATTAGTATTATTACTGTTATTATAATTATCACTATAAACTATTATTCGACTTCAATTATTAACTTCGAGTGTATGAAAATAAATTTCAGTCTGACTAAAATTTGCTTCTACTACTGGTATTCGGAATATTTGTCAAATATATTGTCTGACTAAAATTCTCTTGTACCACTACTACTACAATTATTCAATATTCGGTATGACTACAAATTGACTTGCACTACTTCCACATTAACATGAATTTTCAATCTCTTCAAAAATTAGAAACTGCTTCTACTACTACTAAAATTATTAAATACTTCGTCTGACTACAGATTGACTTGAACTACTTCTAAATTTACCGGAATTAACCTGTAGACTGCCGGGAATTGATAAAATTTATTCACCTTCAAAAATTTCAAAATACTGTGGCTATAACTTAGGAATATCTTGTAGAAAGTCCCATTCACACGTAGAGTCTATATATAGACTTCCCGGCGGTCTACAGGTTAAAATGTCCGATTAGAACTGTATTTTTCTGCTAATAGAAAAACTTGTAAAAAATGAAAAGTCTGACTACAACTTACTTTACCTACTAATAAAAATTAACATGCACTACTTCTACATTAACTAGAATTTAAAGGTCTTAAAAAATTAGAAACAAAAATGATAGAAAGTCTGACTATAATCTGTTTGTACTACTGGAAGATTAAAAAAAAATTTCTAAATTTTGTCGTATCAATTTGATTATTTAGTTATACTACTATTTGAAGTATTAAAAACTTCGTCTGACTACATATTGACTTGAGCTACTTCTACATTTACTGAAATTAAAATATCTTTTGAAAACCATATATTTTTGCTAATACGAAAACTATAAAAATTAGAAAGTCTGAAAAAAAAACTAGAAAAAAATTAGAACTTTTACTACTAAAACATTGATTCTATGAAATTAACCTTCAGTCTGACTAAAATTGGGTTTTACTACTGGGAGCATTGGACAAAGTTAATAAACATCATGTCTGATTAAAATCTGCTTCTACTACTAATAAAATTTTTAAATACTTTGTTTGCCTACAAATATACTTTTACTACTTGTATTTTTATCAGAATTGAAATGTCCTATTGAAACTGATGTTTGCTGCAGATACAAAAACTATAAAATTGGAGAGTCTGACTAGAATTTACTTTTACTACTAACACTTTAATTGCATTAAATTAAATTTCAGTCTGACTAAAATTGGTTTCTACTACTGGTAGCATTAAAAATAGTTATTAAATATATTGTCAGATTAAAATATGTTTCTACTAATATGTCTAAAAATAAAAAAAATAAAAAATAAATAAAATTCGCTTCTACTACTACTTAAAGTATTAAATACATTGTCTGACTACAAATTGACTTGAACTACTTCTACATTTTTTTTTTATTATTTAAACTGTTCTTTGTTACTGATTTGAAAGCGATCAAAAATAAAAAGTCTAACTAAATTTTAATTCTACTACAGATACTTCGATTGTATGAAACTAAATGTCAGTCTGACTAAAATTTGTTTATACTACTGATGGTATTAGAAATATTTATTAAATACCCTGTCTGACCAAAATCTGCTTCTACTACTACAGAAATTATTAAATACTTCCTCCGATTACAAATTGACTTACACTACTTTCACATAAACAAGAATTTTTAATATAAAATGTCAAGAAAAATATCAATCCTTCAAGTCATATATGAAAAGAATAAAAAACACAAGTTTAACGTTTCGACAAATTGTGTTTTTTATTATTTTAATATTTGACTTGGAGGATTTATATTTTTCTTGACATTTTATATTTTCTTTTACCAAGTAAAAAATTCTACAACTTATTTAAGAATTTTTAATGTCTTTAAATACTAGAAATATGAAATTTTAGAAAGTCTGACTAAAATCTGCTTTTACTACTACGACAATTATTAAATTTTTCCTCTGACTGCAAATTGACTTGAACTACTTCTATATTAACCGGAATTAAAATGTCTTTTTAAAATTATTGTTTGCTAATAATTCCAAAACTATAAAAAGTAAAAAGTCTGACTACAATTTACTTTTACTACTGACACTTTCATTTTATAAAATTGAATTTCAGTCTGACTAAAATTTGTTTCTACTGCCGGTGGTATTAGAAAAAGTTATTAAATATCCTGTCAGACTAAAATATGTTTCTACTGCTACTATAATTATTAAATACTTCGTCTGACTGCAAATCGACTTGCACTACTTGCATTGTTACCAGAATTCAAAAATCCTACTTAAACTGGCCTTTGCTGGAGATAAAAAACTATGAAAATTAGAACGACTAACTAGTAGTTACTTTTACTACTAAACCTTTGATTGTATAAAATTAACCTTCAGTCTGACTAAAATTGATTTTTACTACTGGTAGCATTAGAAATAGTAAATAAATATATTAATATTATATTAATTTTAATAAATATATTGTGTGACTAAACTCTGCTTCTACTACTATTGAAATTTTTAAATACTTCGTCTGACTATAAATTGACATGTACGACTTTCACAGTACTAAAAATTTTCAATAATTTCAAAAACTAAAAATAAGAAAATTAAGTCTGACTAAAATTCATTTTTCTACTACTTGAAGAATAAAATTCTTCGTGTTCCTACAAATTGTCTTTAAATACTAAAAATAAAAATTTTAGAAAGTCAGACTAAAATATGTTTCTACTGCTACTATAATTATTAAATAATTCGTCCGACTATAAATTGACTTACACTACTTCCATATTAACAAGAACTTTTAATGTCTCTAAAAACTAAAAATAATAATTTTACTAAGTTTTAATAAAATCTGCTTTTACTATTGCTAAAATTATTACGTAGTTCGTCTGACTAAAAATTGATTTAAATTACTTCTACATTTACCGGAATTAAAATGTCTTAGGTCTGACTTAAAAATGTTTATACTACTACCGAAATTATTAAATACTTCGTCTGACTACACATTGACATGTACTACTTCTACATTAACTGAAATTAAAATATCTCATTGCAACTGTTGTTGGCCCCTGTTTAAAAAAATTATAAAAATTGAAAAGTTTGACTACAATTTACTTTTACTACTGACACTTTAATTGTATAAAATTGAATTTCAGTCAGACTAAACTTTTTTTCTACTACTGGTAGTATTTGAAATAATTATTAAATATCCCGTCGGACTAAAATACGTTTCTACTGCTACTATAATTATTAAATAATTCGTCTGACTATAAATTGACTTACACTACTGTCATATTAACAAGAACTTTTAATGTCTTTAAATATTAGAAATAAAAGTTTCAGAAAGTCTTACTAAATTTTACTTCTACTACTGACACGTCGATTATACAAAATTAAATTTTAGTCTGACTAAAACTTGTTTCTTCTACTGGTAGTATATAAAATAGTTATTAAATATCCTGTCTGATAAAAATCTGCTTCGACTACTACAGAAATTATTAAATACTTCCTGTGATTACAAATTGACTTACACTACTACTTTCATATTAACATGAATTTTTAAAGTCATTTTAAAATTAGAAATAAGAATTTTATAAAGTCTGACTAAAATCTGCTTTTACTACTAATTATGTCATTAAATAATTTGTCTGACTGCAAATTTACTTGCACTACTTTAATACTAACAGGAAAAAACTAAAAATAAAATGTATAAAAAGTCTGACTAAAATCTGTTTCTACTACTACCGAAATTATTAAATACTTCGTCTGACTACACATTGACATGTACTACTTCTACATTAACCATAATTTGAAACTGTTGTTTGCTCCTGATTAAAAAACTATAAAAATTGTAACGTCTGACTACAATTTACATTTACTACTGACACTTCGTTTGCGTAAAATTAAATTTCAGTCTGACTAAAATTGGCTTCTACTACTGGTTGTATTTGAATTAAGTAATTATTTAATTTGTTATTATTTTATTAAATTATCCTGTTTGACTGAAATCTGCTTCTACTGCTACTAAAATTATTAAATACTTCGTCTGACTACAAGTTGACTTGAACTACTTCTAGTTGAAGTTCTGTTAGTCCGTATTAATTTTTCAACGTTGTTTAATTCTATCAATTTTCTTTTAAATTTACAAGAAATGCTGTAAATTTCGAAAACTTCGAAATTTCGAAAATTTCGACCTTTGGCAACTTGGATATCAAATTAAGACAAAAAACGAATGAAAAGTATTGCGAAGCAACATTTTTGATTCTTTTTTTTTTGTCTCAATTTGACATCCTTAGAAAAACAGTGAAAATATTTTCCCAAAAAAAAAAAATACAAGAAATGTATTTTTTTCCCCTCCTTAAAATACGATAAAAAGTGATTATACATATGTTACGACCCCTCATTCAGAAAATGATTTATGATGTTTATCAGAAAAGTTTAGTTCTCATATTGTATATATGAAGTAGGAAAGGAATTTGTAGTTGATAGTCTGGGAGTGTGTATAGTGATCGATCGATTACTTAATAGAAAGTTGTCGAGTTAAAGGGGATGTGTGTGTGTGTGTGTGTGTGTGTGTATTTCTGTATATTAAGGGTATGTTTGTGTTTGTGTGCTTTCAGCGACCACAGTCCAGATTGGGATATGAAGACCAATCTCGAGTGGGATTCACCGCGGATTCCAGGTGCACCAGCAGACTGGGTTACGATGAGACGAGGGGCGGCTACCTGGACCAAAGTGATCCGAGAATGTACTGCACGGGAGGTTACTGCATGGGTGATACGATGATGGCGACAAGGGGAGTTTGTGGCGAGGACGTTGAGCTCGACATGCAGAGGCATATTCAAGCTTGCGCTTGCACCTGCAACCACATGGGTTACGGAAATTACATGGACTATCAGGTGAGACACTTGAATTCACTCATCTCTATATCATATAAGAAAATATTAGTCGTCACACACCTCATTTTTTATTCATTCAATTTTTTTAAGGGTGTACTCTCGATATTTCGAGCGCAAAACTGCGCAAATACTAAAGAGAAAATTAACAAATGCTTATTCTTTATCTCGGGAATATAACTCTGAAATATGTTAATTAATTCGCTAAATTTAAATTAATAATTAATTTAAGCTAAATAAAACGAAAATAACATTCGGACAATGAATAAAATATTGATTTACTCCAAAGTTTCGAAATCTAAATAATTTCCTCTTCAGGGAGTCTACCCAAAAAAATATGTACAAAATTAAAATAATAATAAAAAATAATTTAAAAATAGATAAAATAAAAATTAATGAATAATTATCTAACCAAAAATTAATAATTAAAATAGACGAAAACTTAATTTTATGCCCTGACAATCTGGAGTAGAGTCTGGAGTCAGAAAATTATAAAGAAACTTAATATTAATAAAATAAATTTTTAAAAATAAAAATAATTGATAAATTAAAAAATTTTTGAGAGAAATTAATAATTAATAATAAAAGAATGGAAATTAGTAACAAATTAAAAATTAATAAAGAATCACTATATAAAAAAAATTAAATTTATGAAAAATTAATGAAAAATAATAATACAATTATGAAAAATAAATAAAAAAATATTAATAAATAAAAAAAATAAATAAACACTCGATAAATAAATAATCCGTTTTCTGTTTAAAAATTATAAATAAATAACACATAGATAATAAACAATTAAACAAATAACGGTTCACAATACAATAATTCACAATAAAATGAAATAAAAATAAATATTGCTAAATTAAGTAAAAAATTAATGAAAATGTTTTCTACTATAAATCCACAAAAAAATTGTTATTTTAACACAATTCTGGTGTTATTTCGCAGAAACCACCCTCTAACTCCAAAAAGGTACCTCCTTTATAATATAAAAAATAAAGTTTTATAAAAACTTTTTTCACATAAATTTGAGGGTCGAAAAAGTATTTTGAAAATTTAATTTAGAGCCTCTTCAATTTATATATGTATTAGATAATTAATAAAATCTTGAAATAATTTCAAAAAAATCCGAATTAAACTTTTTCAAAAAAAAATAATTCTACAGAATTGTCAGTTGAAAGTATGAAGAACACAGATTTTCTAAAGATTTTAATTTAAAACCTTTTCAAAAATCAATTATTTCTACAAATTCATGCTATAATGCTTCTAATATTCAAGTAATATCTTAAACTTTAACTGAAATTCATTTTTTGAATAATTTCACTTTTTTTAAAAATTGAATTCTAATGTAGAATTTTATCAGCAAATTTTTAAATAATTGAATTCTTTCAAAGAATTTCGATAAAATTTTCAAAAATAATTGCATTTTTCCAGAATTTTTATTAAAATGGCATTAAAAATAATTAAAATTCTGTGATGAGTTTTATTATTTATGAAAATAATTGAAGTATTGCGAAGAATTTTATAAAGAATTTTTCAATAATTGATTATTTTTTAAAACATTTATTCGAATTCTTTAAAAAAATTTTTGGTAAATAATTGAATTCTTTTGGGAAATTTTATTAAAATAGTAAATATTAAAAATCATTGAATTGAGAAAATTTTTTAAAAATAATTGAAATTTTGACAAAGAATTTTATTATAATTTAAAAAAATAATTGAGTTTTGGAGAATAAGTTTGCAATTTATAAAAAGAATTGAAATCTTGACAATTTAAAAAAAAATTTGAAAATAATTGAATTTCTGCGAAGAATTTTATTTCTTTTTTTTGAAAATAATTGAATTCTTATGATGAATATTATTATTTGTAAAAATAATTAAATTCTTACAATGAATATTATTAGTTGTAAAAATAATTGAATTTTGCAAAGAATTTTATCAAAATTGAAAATTCCGAAAAATAATTGAATTTCTGGAGAGAATTTTGATATTTATCAACCAGAATTTATTTTCAAAAATTGATTTTGTATATAATCCGTTAAAAATTCCAGAAGACAATTAAATTATGATAATTACAATTAAAATTTTTACGGTACATTTGAAGAATATATGAAAAATTTCGTAAAAAAATTGAAATTTCCAAGAATTTATTAAAAATAATTTAGCAAATATCAATAATTTTTTTTTACACACGCGTATAACGCAGTAATAAAAAAAAGCCACAGACAGAAAGTATATGCAAAATGAGAAATATTTAATCAAATTGTTTTCAAACTCGAAATTAATTTACTAACTAAAACTATTTTCCCGTTAAATTCTTTCCATTAAAATTATTTTCATTAAACTTATTTCCAATAAAAATCATTTCCATTAAACTTATTTCCATTGAACATATTTTCGATTAAAATTATTTACTCTATTTAATTTCTAATATATATATATATATTATATATTTTAATCAAAGTGCATTTATTCCTTCTCTAAATTAGCCAATTAGAGGAGACACTGATTTTAGACAGTCGCATGTTAATTTATAATTCGTTGTTGAACAAGTTTTCTACAGTTTCCACAAACTTTTAGATAATGGATTATAAATGTAAAACGAACACAATTGACCGAAATTTCTAGTTTCAGAAATAAATGAAAAGTGGAATGGAAATTAAAACTTGAAAAGCTCGCAATTAATAACTTTCAACTTTTTTTTTCCTTCGTTAATTTCATTAATTAAATTTGAATACCTACAATTATATATTACGATCAAACCTTTTTTTCTATTTTTTTATTTTCAAATTCGAAAGTCGTTTCTTAATTTGCATATAGTTGTACATAGTAAAGTAACGCTGCGTGTTATTATACAGAAAGCGTTAAAATTATTCATCAGATGCAAAAAGAAGTCAAGTTACATAAATTCTCCCGAAAAAAAAGAAGAGCGACAAAAAAATGAATAAAAATTAATGTTTTTTGTAATTTCTATAAAAAATTTCTATTTTCATAGAGGATTTCTCCTCCTGATTCAAAAACTTCATACGAAAATTTGTAGTAAGTCTGACTAAAATATGCTTCTACTACTATTTCTGGAAATATTAAATATTTCGTCTGGCCTAAAATTGACTTGCACTACTTCCACATTCAATTTTAAGAAATTTCAATTACTCCTAAATTATTCAATAAAATGAATATTAGAAAATAAAAACTTTAAATAATATAAAAATTAATTTAATTGTACATTTTAAAACAAATTAATTTCAAAATCCAATTATTTCTAAAAATTCAAGCTTTATCGCTTTTAATATTCAATTATTGTCTATTTTAACTGTACTTCATTTTTAAATTAAATTTTATTACAAACTTCTACGAGAATTCAATTATATTAATACAAAAATAAATAATTTATTGAATAATTTAATGTTTCTAACCATTCAATTCTCATAAAGAATTTTATCAACAATTAAATAATTGAATTCTTTCGACGAATTTTAATAAAAATTTTTAGAATAATTACATTTGTCGAGAAATTTGATTAAAATTATATTAAAAATAATTTAAATTCTGACATAAATTTTATTATATGTGAAAATAATTGAATCCCTAAGAAGAATTTTATTATTTTTAAACATAATTAAATTTCTGCAACGAATTTTATTGCTCTTGAAAATAATTAAATTTCTGCAATAATTTGTAACTTTTCAAAAATTCAATTTTTTTTAAGTATTTTTAACTAAAATTCTTCTATAAATTATTTATTTTTGATAATTTTTGAAAAAGTTCCTTGAAAATTTTTAAATTTATTTGTTTACAATTCAATTTTACAAAATTTCCATTCTTCGGAAATTCTTCAATAAAATATATATATATTAGAAAATAAAAACTTCAAAAAAATAATTTCAAGTTGAATTCAAATAAACTTTTTCAAAAAATTAATTCTTCTACATAATTTGTTAGTAAAAAATATGAAAAGTTCAAATTTTCAGAGATTTTAATTTTGAAACCTTTTCAAAATTCAATTATTTCTAAATATTCACGCTGTAATACGTTTAATATTCAATTATTATTTAAAATTTTAACTGAAATTATTTTTTTTTTATCAGAAAAAACTATTAGAATTCAATTATTTAAATACAAAAATAATTAATTTACTGAATAATTGAATGTTTCTTAAAATTCAATTCCCAAAAAGAATGTTATCAACAGATTTTTAAATAATTGAATTCTTTCGACGAATTTTAATAAATTTTTTAAGAATAATTACACTTTTCAAAAAATTCGATTAAAATTGTATTGGAAATAATTGAAATCCTGCGATGAGTTTTTTATATTTGTGAAAATAATTGAATCCCTAAGAAGAATTTTAATATTTTTGAACATAATTAAATTTCTGCGAAGAATATTATTGCTCTTAAAAATAATTAAATTTCTGCAATAATTTGTAACTTCTTCAAAATTCAATTTTTTTAGTGTTTTTAACTGAAATTCTTCTTTAAATCAATTATTTTTAATAATTTTTGAAAAAGTTCTGTAATAATTTTCAAATCCATTTGTTTATAATATTCAATTCTACGAAATTTCAATTACTCCTAAATTCTTTAATTAAATGTATATTAGATAATAAATTGAAATTTACCGATGAATTTTATCATTAGTAAAAATAATTGAATCCCTAAGAAGAAGTTTTAAAAATTTCTGAACAGAATTGAATTTTTGAGAAGAATTTTATTGCTCTTGAAAACAATTAAATTTCTGCAATAATTTTCAACTTCTCCAAAATTAAATTTTTTTAGTGTTTAAATTTTTCTATAAATTCCTTCATTTGTTTTTAACAGAAATTCCTTTTTAAATCAATTTGTACTAGAAAATTCTACCAGAATTCAATTATTTAAATACAAAAAATAGTTTATTGAATATTTGAATGTTTCTTAAAATTCAATTCTTTAATAATTTTTAATAGTTTTCGAAAAAGTTCTTTAGGAATTTTCAAATTCATTTGTTTACAATTCAATTTT